TCGAACTAGCAACCTTCTTGCTGTGAGGCGACAGTGCTAACCACTGAGCCACTGTGACACCACATTATAATATATATATTTTTTTTCATTAATTCATTTATTCATTACCCTCGGCTAAGTCCTTATTTCAGAGGCCGCCACAGCTGAATGAACCACCAACTACTCCAGCTCATGTTTTTACTCAGTGGATGCCCTTCCACCTGCAACCCAGTACTGGGAAGCACTCGCACACTTCGGCCATTCATTCATTCATTCTCCTTCGGCTCAGTCCCTTTATTCATCAGAGGTCGCCACAGCGGAATGAACCGCCGACTTATCCAACATATGTTTTACACAGCGGATGCCCTTCCAGCTGCAACCGGGAAACACCCATACACACTCATACACTATACAGCCAATTTAGTTTACCCTATTCACCTATAGCGCATGTCTTAGGACTGTGGGGGGAACCGGAGCACCTGTAGGAAACCCACACTAACACAGGGAGAACATGCAAACTCAGAAATTACCCAGCCGGGACTCGAACCAGCAACATTCTTGCTGTGCTATTGCGCCACCATGATGCACGTATAATATTTTTATTTAATCATATTATAAAATGATTTTGTCCACACAACAAAAGTTGAATTAAAGCACAATAAAACAAGTCTCTCTGACAAACACAAGACAAGATCTGAAATCCTACAAGAGCTATTGTGAACAACATGACCTTTAAGTCCAGGTTTGTCATCTTGCGGCTTCAGAATATGTGAATCAAAGATAACGAACTTTTGATTTCAGCCGAGCCCCTATAGCTGCACGAGCTGCTCTTTGTGAATGGAGGCAGTCTGCGGTTTAGGCGATTTCCACACTCATTCACATCCAGCAGATCAGCAGCAGCTTCTCCTATTCTCTATTTTAAGCATCGAGCTTCGTTCCTGCCTCCACACACACACACACACACACACACCATCCTAACGGCTGCGGAGGAAAGGAAGCCTGCGGTTTCACAACACTATCTAAAAACACACACATCCCTATGTCCTCCACAGGGTTTGAACCTGCGCTAGCGCTCATGCGCTCACACACATTCATGCTCACACAGACTCGAACATACAGACACACAAAGACTGACGCACACACCCATCCATTGGTTGTACACAGGGTTTGTACTCGTGCACACACAGATACTAAAACACAGAGAGACACACACACACACACAGATTTTTTCACTGATGGAGCCACCACATCCAAACATCGGTATAAAGCTGTTGTATCTGTTTCTAACTGATCGAGTGTTTTCAAAATCAATGACTGACCAGTGCGCCACGTTTACTGAGAGGTTTGCGGGTTTTAAGTTTTCATATGTGAGGTGTAAGGTCTGTCTTTGCATAAACAACTGACTGAAACTGCTATTACACCCCTCACAAAGTGAAATTCAAGAGTTCACACTTAACTGATAATCAATAAAGCGTATTTGGCATGCTGTCCCGGGAGAGAGCCCTGAGCTCGTAATATCCTCGAGCCCGGGGCTCCCTCCCGTTAGAAGGGCGAGAGGGGAGTTCGAGGTCAGGTAGGTCTCGAAAACTCCCCTGCTTGTCACCGTGAGAAGTGTGAACTGAGGTTGGATTGGGTGATAAGTTGTTTTAGTCGATTTGGCTATGGTTCATGTTTTGGACGGTGGGAGGAAACCGGGGAACCCGGGGGAAACCCACGCGAACACGGGGAGATCATGCAAACTCCGCACAGAAACACCGACCGGCCCGGAAGGTTGGACCGGCGGTGTTCTTGCTGTGAGGCAACAGTGCTAGCCACTGGGCCACCGTGTCGCCCAATCAGGAAAGGAGGAGGATGAAGGGGTGGAAAGGGGGGAGCTTCAAGACGAAGATAACTGGAGTGATAAACTCTGGTTATTTATAATGCTTCCGTAATCATCTAATGGGGCTGATTACGGAGCTAATAAGGAGCCAGCCGTGTTGATTATAAGCACGTGATCCTCTCGAAATTAGTTTATGAATAAACCACACTAAAAAAGACTGTAAAATGTTTAGTGTAAAAAATAAACAGACAAACTGCCTGAAATGTTCTGTTTTATCAAAATTTTATAGGCATTTCTTTTTTGTAACATAACCTAGGTAGAAACCCTAGAACCCTAGAAAGAGTTCTAGCCAAGATTTGGCATAAATCTGGCTCAGCAGGCATCCATCCGGCACTGGCATACAGCATGTAGGCCAAACATGGCCCTGGTTTGGCAGAGGTGGCTCCATCTTTAAGGTGGCACACAATACTCGGGGTGCGAGGCAGTGGCGCAGTAGGTAGTGCTGACGCCTCACAGCAAGAAGGTCACTGATTCGAACCTCGGCTCAGTTGGCGTTTCTGTGTGGAGTTTGCATGTTCTCCCTGCCTTCGCATTGGTTTTCTGGTGAAAACTTTCGTTTTGTTCCTCATTTAGACCATCGGTTTACCCGCGCTGCAGTTGTTCAAGTTAGATAAGTCACACAGCGGGCTGTACTGTTTGTGTTTGGCTCACTGAATCACGCATGCGCAGTATTATCGGTTCACCGCTTCTCACTGTAACGTTATGGCAGGCACTTTTTTCCAGGGGTTTCAGTACAGCGTAACCGCTACTACGTCATCGGGTGGGCGTGGCCTATCTGTGAATTTGCATAGGTCACGGATCATGCGCAGATTGTGAAAACAGCCGTTTGGTTCAGATACCTGTACATATTTGCAGGGGTTTCGTGTCCAATACCTTTTATATGCAGTACAAAATAGCTGTCCTGATCGCAGGTGTTTCATGTGAAGTCAGTGTATGTTATATTAAACAAATTAACTTAAGATACCTCTCAGATTACATTAATACTGTTATAACTTAAGATACCTGTCCTCATGTATCCCAGGGCTTTTGTGTCAAATACTTTATATATCATATACAGTAGCATCAGATACCTGTCTTGATCTCAGGGGTTTCATGTATTATTACTTTTATATTAGTTAACATCAGATACGTGTCCTGATCCCAGGTGTTTCATGTATGATCACTTTTATATTATATACAGTAACATCAGATACGTGTCCTGATCCCAGGTGTTTCATGTATGATCACTTTTATATTATATACAGTAACATCAGATACCTGTCCTGATCCCAGGTGTTTCATGTATGATCACTTTTATATTAGTTAACATCAGATACCTGTCCTGATCCCAGGTGTTTCATGTATGATCACTTTTATATTAGTTAACATCAGATACCTGTCCTGATCTCAGGTGTTTTGTGTATGATGACTTTAAATAAAAATAGAAAATAAAGTTATGTTAGTTAACTAAGATCGAGAAAGAGAAATTAACCACGATTTATTACAGAAAATGTGGTATTTATTTGTTTAAACATGACTGAATACCATATTTTAAACTACAAAAACACAGTTCATCTTACCACAAACATTATTATTTGGTTTAAAATGGGAGTACAAAAGCCTAGAGACAGTAAAACGGAGTAATACGGATTAAAACGAGGTCAGCTGTTTTTGCTAATGAAATCTTTAAAATATAACATTATAACAACAAAAAAATAACCTGTATGATTGTTTTTTCCTTCGTTTTCCACCGCGGTAGGAAAATCATCCTGTTTGAAATGACCGCGCTAAAAAAGAACCTGTACTGCGCATGATCGGTGACCTCTCAGTATTGTTTTTTTTTTAAAGGGGGCGTTTCCCAAACACCGACCAAACCACGCCCATTTTACGTCGTGGTAATGAAACCCCTGGAATTGAGTGCATGCCGTAACGTTATATATTGGATTATTTAGTGTCAGAGAGGGGTATTAGGCTTGTTATAAAGTAAGTAGTTGGTGGATAAGTTGTGCTTCCTGGAGACGCGAATCGTTTCAAATGATTCAGTTCGATTTGGTGAACTAGTTTTAATAAGAAATAAAACAAATGTGTTTAAGTAATATTTTTAAGTCTCTGTATTTAATGCTGTCACCGTGCTGCTGTCATGTCTGTAATGTAAGTGGATCATATTCCAATGTAATATTATGATTTGTTTGTTAAGGTTAAGTCAGGCACATGAGCATTAATTTAACACTTGAAACATTTTATTTAATACATAAATAACAACATAATGCCCTTGTAAAGACAATAAACTAGTTAATTGCAACTTTCCATATTTTAATATTAGAAATAGGCTATATGAAAACTTTAAAATTGAATGTCAATTGTTCATTGAACTTATATAATGTTAAACTGACTTAAAACAGCTTGCATAACTTATAAAACTAAGATAGAACATGATTAACTTAGTTCAGTAAATTAAAATGACCTAAAAACATATGCTGTCAGGACTAATTGATCATATAACCTTTTACAGTGTAGCTAATGTTTATGTATGTGCTGTTTCCATGTTTGGATAGTTGTTATACTGCAAATAAAGACAAACATTTTAGCCAAAATCTGTTATCAATTCCACCCTTTAAAATTGTTCATTAGTATTTTCTTCTCTCCTCTTACAGCAGCTGAGTTAACGCAATTGTCTATTAAACATACCATCAGCTATATCAGTGCTGCAGAGTTGTAAAAGAGAAAGACCGACTGCATCGGTTTACACAGATTTCAATAAAGACAGTTTATTTTAATGTCAAAGTGTTCATACTTTCCTGAAGACATATTTTATATATAAAAACACATTTTAAATTTTAAATGTTTCTTTTTTTCTCTTAAACACAAAAGAAGATATTATGAAGAATGTTGAAAAGCTGTAACCATTCCATAGCTGGAAAATCAAATACTTTGGAAGTCAATGGTTACAGGTTTTCAACATTCTTCAGAATATCATAAATAATACCATATCTAGTTTGAAACAAGTATAGAGTGGGCTAAATATTAACAGAATTTTTGTTTTTGGGTAAACTAAAATCCAATTTATGCTTTATTTTTAGACAGCAGACACAGAATCACCTCACTATGTCTCACTCTAAAGCCAAACTTGATCTAATGTCATGCATTTTATTATTTTTTTCAGAATTTCTGTCAGAAGTTTACCGTGAGCTGCTCATGGCCGAGGCCTGCCGGAGCATCGAGTCCCAGTAGGGTCACCATCCAACGCTCCTTACAGCACCATGATGAGCACCGCCAAACCCCATATATTCACCTCCACCCAAACCCTGAGCCCTTTCCCAGACCCGACTCTCCCGCTGACCACCCTCAACCCTCTTCTCACCAGTCCAGGAGAGGTAAAAACATCATCAGAGAACATCACCTCCAGGAGCTCCATCACCTCCGCACCTGGGCTAAACGGCACTCTGCTGCCCGTGGCGTCGGTGGAGGGCGCTGGGGTGGGGATGGTGCTCGTGCCCTTCGGAATCATTACAGTCATTGGACTCGCTGTTGTGGTGGTGAGGAAATAAATAACCATTAACTTCTTAAAGGAATATTGCTACTTAATTTATGCAGTGTTTAAAATACATGTTAGATCCAGGGACGCATAAAAATAAAGGGTACAACTCTATATACTGTGGTGGTCAATAGTAAACACTATAGTGTTTTTGAACCATTAAAACTGTATAATACTATATATATATATATATATATATATATATATATATATATATATATATATATATATATATATACACTCACCGGCCACTTTATTAGGTACACCTTACTAGTACCGGATTGGACCCCATTTTGCCTTCAGAACTGCCTTAATCCTTCGTGGCATAAATTCAACAAGGTACTGGGAATATTCCTCTGAAATTTTGGTCCATATTGACATGATGGCATCACACAGTTGCTGCAGATTTGTCGGCTGCACATCCATGATGTGAATCTCCCATTCCACCACATTCCAAAGGTGCTCTATTGAATTGAGATCTGGTGACTGTGGAGGCCATTTGAGTACATTGAACTCATTGTCATGTTCAAGAAACCAGTCTGAGATGATTTGCGCTTTATGACATGGTGCGTTATTCTGCTAGAATTAGTCATCAGAAGATGGGTACACTGTGGTCATAAAGGGATGGACATGATCAGCAACAATACTCAGGTAGGCTGTGGTGTTCACACGATGCTAAATTAGTACTAATGGGGCCAAGTGTGCCAAGAAAATATCCCCCACACCATTACACCACCACCATTAGCCTGAACCATTGATACAAGGCAGGATGGATCCATGCTTTCATGTTGTTGATGCCAAATTCATGCCTAAATGCACTGAGTTGCTGCCATTTGATTGGCGGATTATAATTTTTTGTTAACGAGCAGTTGGAAAGTGTACCTAATAAAGTGGCAGGTGAGTGTATATAGTATTTACAATGCTTTGGTTAAGAATGCTATACCATGTTCAACCTATTGGGATCTGGTAACCTGTGATAAATATTGTAGCATAAGCTACTTCAAGGCGACGCAGTGGCACAATGGGTAGCACATTCGCCTCACAGCAAGAAGGTCGCTGGGTCGCTGGTTCGATCCTCGGCTCAGGCGTTTCCGTGTGAAGTTTGCATGTTCTCCCTGTTCGCGTGGGTTTCCTCCGGGCGCTCCGGTTTCCCCCACAGTCCAAAGACATGCGGTACAGGTGAATTGGGTAGGCTAAATTGTCCGTAGTGTATGTGTGGATGTTTCCCAGAGATGGGTTGCGGCTGGAAGCGCATCCGCTGCATAAAAACTTGCTGGATAAGTTGGCGGTTCATTCCGCTGTGGCGACCCCGGATTAATAAAGGGACTAAGCTGACAAGAAATTTAATGAATGAAGCTACTTCAGTTTTTACAACAGTAATTTGTGGTGTATTCAGGGCTTTACATTAACACCCGCCAAATGTAAGTAGATTAGACAGCCACCTCCACTGCCACTTTGGCTGGTTGAAAACTATTTTTAAATTGTAGTTTTCTTAAAAGCAGTGTTCGACAACAACGATGGCCCAATATTCGTGCAAATGCGATCTTAGAATCGAGAAGCAGCACGACTGACAAAAGTAATTTTGTTTATGGGGGCAAAAGAAAGCTGGTTGAATACCGAATGAGAGGATGATCATGTGATGCGCGCGACTGTTTAAAACACGTGCGCGCTCCCGTTTCCTTGCTTGAAACAAGTGTGCCTGGAAATGTAACTGGTGTGATCCGTTCTCTTTTAAATAGACCAGACAAAAAGTTGTTCATGCACGCACAGTCCTGCTGCTTTCAAGAGCTCCAGATTGGTCTTTTTGTAAGCAGCACTGGTTGCTTTCGCTTTAACCATTATTTAAACAGGATATATTAACTTCCCATTTATGTGTAGTTAACTGGTGTCAACTATTTTTTTTAAAGAAATGTAAATAAAAAGTATAGTAGACAGCTATATTTTGCTTGTTTTTACACATTATTTAAAATTTGTGGCTAAGAAATAATTATTCATTTATTTTTAGTGTGGTCAGAGATAAATTTGGTAAACCCTTTGAGCTCTGAAAAGTCTGTAAATCAACACTATGAAACCGAGACCCATGTGCTCATGCTCACTGAGCAAGCTCTTACACAACATACACAAAAGTAAAATGAATAAGGACGCATGTGGACATTCCACAAAATCTAAAACAAGTCATTTTGGCATTTCAAAGTCATATTTATACATATAAAATATATTTTCCCAACAACAAAATTGTGGCTAGTCAAAATAGCGAGTGGCTAATATTGTTGAAAAACTATTAGCCACACTGGCTGGTGATCATAAAAGTTAATGTCAATCCCTGGGTGTATTGTAGAACAATTTAATCTATAGTTGTAGACAACGTGTTGTGTTCATGGTCATTTGTTTATATTAGCCACCACATTAACATGTAGAATTACCACAACATAAAGCCGCATTAAAATCCTAAAATCCAGTGTTTATAAAGCCAAACATTTTATGCTGGTATAAATTAAACTTAGGAAGATGTACACTTTTACATAATAAAAGTGTGTGTTTTCCTTCTCTGATGAGAATAATGGGTCTTTTGTGTATAATAATAATATTTTTTTAAACATTTCAAAATATAAATCTAATGGTTGAATTGACTGTAAATTAAATAAGTGAGTTTTAATAACACCTTGGATTTTACCTAATGTTTATGCGTAACATCTTTCTTTTCCTCACCAGCTTCTATACATCAGGAAAAAGAAAAGGTAAGAAACAGTGCATTACTTTTCCATGACAGTCTTAAAATGTGATTTTAGTAATAATTATGGTTCAGTCAGACACGTTCTGTTTTATTCTCCACAGACTGGAGAAACTGCGACATCAGCTGATGCCCATGTATAACTTTGATCCAGCTGAAGAACAGGATGATCTCGAGCAGGAACTCCTGGATCATGGACGAGACGGAAGCCCAGCAGGACCAAACTCAAAAGTAGGAGGACATTAAAACATGGCCGACAGCAAAACAGATCATCTGACAAACAACAACTGATTACATAGATAGATAGGCAGGCAGGCAGGCAGGTAGATGGATGGATGGATGGATAGATGACAAACGAACGGATTAATGGATGGATTGATGGATGAATAGATAGAAAAAGGGATGGATGGATGACACAGACACAGACAGACAGATGACAAGCAAATAGATAGATGGATGGATGGATGAATGGATGGATGATAGATGGTTGGATAGATAGACAGATGGATGGATGGGTGGATGGATAGATGGGTGGATAGATGGGTAGATGGATGGATGATGGACAAATGGACGGAGGAACAGACGGACAGATGGACAGATAGATAGATAGATAGATAGATAGATAGATAGATAGATAGATAGATAGATAGATAGATAGATAGATAGATAGATAGATAGATAGATAGATAGATAGATAGATGAATGGATGAATTGATAGACAGATGGTTGGATAGATAGACAGATGGATGGATGGATGATGGACAGATGGAAGGACAAACAGACAGACAGATGGATGGATAGATAGATGGTTGAATAGATAAGACAGATGGATGGGTGGATGGATGAATGGTTGGATGTATAGATAGATGGTCGGAAAGATAGATAGATGGATGGATGAATGGATGGGCGGATAGATAGGTGGATGGATGGATGAATGAATGGATGAATGGCTAGATAGATGGTTGCATAGATAGACGGATGGATGAATGGATGGATAGATAGATAGATAGATGGATGGATGGATGGATGGATGGATGGATGGATGGATGGATGGATGGATGGATGGATGGATGGATGGATGAATGGAAAGATAGATGGTTGGATAGATAGACAGATGGATGGATGGATGGATGATAAACAGATGGATGGATGAACAGACAGATGGATGGATAGATAGATGGTTGAATAGATAGATAGATAGATAGATAGATAGATAGATAGATAGATAGATAGATAGATAGATAGATAGATAGATAGATAGATAGATAGATAGATAGATAGATAGATAGATAGATAGATAGATAGATAGATAGATAGATAGATAGATAGATAGATAGATAGATAGATAGATAGATAGATCGATCGATCGATCGATCGATCGATCGATCGATAGATAGATAGATAGATGGATGGATGGATGGATGGATGGATGGATGGATGAATGGAAAGATAGATGGTTGGATAGAAAGACAGATGGATGGATGGATGGATGGGCGGATAGATAGGTGGATGGATGGATGAATGAATGGATGAATGGCTAGATAGATGGTTGCATAGATAGACGGATGGATGAATGGATGGATAGATAGATAGATAGATAGATAGATAGATAGATAGATAGATAGATAGATAGATAGATAGATAGATAGATAGATAGATGGATGGATGGATGGATGGATGGATGGATGGATGGATGGATGGATGGATGGATGGATGGATGGATGGATGGATGGATGGATGAATGGAAAGATAGATGGTTGGATAGAAAGACAGATGGATGGATGGATGGATGATAAACAGATGGATGGACGAACAGACAGATGGATGGATAGATAGATGGTTGAATAGATAGATAGATAGATAGATAGATAGATAGATAGATAGATAGATAGATAGATAGATAGATAGATAGATAGATAGATAGATAGATGAATGGATGAATTGATAGACAGATGGTTGGATAGATAGACAGATGGATGGATGGATGATGGACAGATGGAAGGACAAACAGACAGACAGATGGATAGATAGATAGATGGTTGAATAGATAAGACAGATGGATGGGTGGATGGATGAATGGTTGGATGTATAGATAGATGGTCGGAAAGATAGATAGATGGATAAATGGATGGGCGGATAGATAGGTGGATGGATGGATGAATGAATGGATGAATGGCTAGATAGATGGTTGCATAGATAGACGGATGGATGAATGGATGGATAGATCTACAGATAGATAGATAGATAGATAGATAGATAGATAGATAGATAGATAGATAGATAGATAGATAGATAGATAGATAGATAGATAGATAGATAGATAGATAGATAGATAGATAGATAGATAGATAGATGGATAGATAGATGATAGATGGGTGGATGAATGGATGGTTAGATAGACAGATGGAAGGATATTATTAAATCGTATAAATGAAAATGATATTATCGATTTCTTGTATGAATATAATGTGAAATGATTGATCTAAAGTTATGGTGTTTCAGAATAATGCTTGCCATATTTAACTGAACGCTTTATCTCAATTTCCACCATTCTCATTTCTCTTGAGTTCTGACAGCAGCATGCGCTTTATTACTTGTGGTAAAGTATTTATCACTGTAAATGTGTCAGACAGCCATTATTATTATTGCCATCATCACTAAATCCCCTCAAACACCAGCTGTGACTGAATCCACCTGTAAACACCTCCTCCACTCGTGCATTCGTTTCATTCTCATACTGCAAACAGCAGAACTCATCTTAATAAACAGCATCATCTGTGTCATTATGTAAAACTATTTCATTCTATAAAGCAGTATTAGTGTCAATGTCTGCTTTTACTGACTTACTTTTACTCTCTCTTTCCATCACAGACACTGACTACTAGTCAGGGAGCAACTCAGAAACCGAGTCGACTTGTTTTCACAGACGTGGCTGATGCTATTAATGCATGACGACACTCACGAGCTGCACAGGACAAAAGAAAACACAAAAATATGGACACACACACACACACACACACACACACACACACACACACACACACACACACACACACACACACACACACACACACACACACACACACACACACACACACACACACACACACTGGCATTCAGGAATACTTGCAATGATATTTAGTATGACATTATAAAACAGGGGTCCGTTCTTCGTACCTCGCTTAAATGATCTAAGGAGATTTGGCAGATCTTGGATTTTTCAATCTTGATAACTGATCTCTGGCTAATTTGGTTTTTCAGACAAGTTCGCGAATCAGATTAGAATGTCTGGATAAACTGATCTGAGATCGCTGAGTGTGTTGTGAAGGACAGATCTATCGATCCTCGAAATCATGATCAGCAATGCAACGATTGGCTGACGGCACAGCAGCGTAATGACATCATCTGATTAATATTCAATTATCCATGTCAGCAAAATTACATCAAATTAGCAGTAAACGGCTTGTTAAATATGACATGCAATAACCTTCCACATTTGTTGTGAACTGCAGGCTTTACACTTTCATGTGTCAAGAGTATTCATCATGTATTTCAATGCAAATCAATGTATTTAGTTCTACATTTAGAAAAGATTTTCTTTATTATAGTAGCCGTTTTTTTTAATCGGTGTAAAGAATAACTGGTTGTTTACAAAAGCATTTTAATATTGGTAAAGGCATCTGGAACTTTTGTGAAGCATTAAATCACTGGCATATTAACTATCAAAACATGTTTATGACTGCATAAATGTATTATTGCTTTAAAAAAGTCACATATAGTGCATTTCTATTATACACAATTTGTACTAAAGCGATCTAAAAAGTTCATATCAATAAGCTTTCTCTTTGCACCACCAGGTGGCAGTCTTTGTACTTTCATTTCGAGGGTGCAGATTGCATACGTTTTATGAATATGTATAACTTTATTTTATTAATGACTATAACTTTATATATATAGTTAAAAAATATTTACTATTTTCCCAAGTGTATATAACTACTACTGTAAGAAAATATCAGAATTCGGGACATACTTTCTCTATTATCTTTGCTTGAACTGAGCCGATCTAATCCTGTTTATATGAATTGAACCTGCTCCCGATCAGGTTTGAGCTAGCAGAACTGTTGCCATGACAACAACTCTCGGATCAGCTTTGAAGAACGAAACGATCCTGGATCGTGTCAATATCCAAATCCAGCTAACTGAGTAATCCACGTACGAAGAACGGACCCCAGGGGTGGCCAACCTGTTGCTACCCATATCAAACACACCTGAACCAATTAATTAGGACCTGAACACCACGTGATAATTACAGGCAGGTGTGTTTGATATGGGCTGCAACTGAAATCTGCAGGAAGGTCAATCTCCAGGAACAGGGTTGGCCACCGCTGTTATAAAACAACATCCCACTACAAATGAAAACATTGCATTTCCGTCTGACTCTGCCTTTTCAAATCAATAGTTTCTAGTCCAACACTTACAAGAAATACATTTTGGAAAGTATTCAGCACAGAAGAAATGACTGCAGAAAACAAACAATCATATTTTTACACTGATTATTAAAAAATCACAAAGTTTAAGCACACTTGAAAGTTTGTTCTGCTCTTCTGCAAGACTGGATTTGGTCTAAATGTTGTGTGCCCTCCTGCGAAATGGACTTTATTTTTCTTAGATCGTTTTCTTAGATCAAGCCTTGTTCGTGAATCACGAGCCGAACATCTCTGTAATTTGTTTGTAAGAAATGTTTTTTTTTTTGGGTGAACTATCCCTTTTAGGCAATGGTCTCAAACTCAGATCCTGAAAGGCCCCAGTCCTGCATAGTTTAGGTCCAACCACCTCCAACTCATTCATTCATTTTTTTTGTCGGCTTAGTCCCTTTATTAATCTGGGGTTGTCACAGTGGAATGAACCGCCAACTTATCCAGCACGTTTTTACGCAGCGCATGCCCTTCCAGCCGCAACCCATCACTGGGAAACATGGATAGATAGATAGATGGATGGATTTATGGATGGATGGATAGATAGATAGATGGTTGGATAGATAGACAGGAGGATGGATGGATGGATGGTCAGATAGATAGATAGATGGATGGATGGACGGATAGATTTGTGGACGGATGGATAAATGGATGGCTAGATAGATAGATGGATGGATGGATGGATGTATAGATAGATGGCATAGTCCCTTTTTTAAACTGGGGTTGCCACAGTGGAAGGAACCGCCAACTTATCCAGCACGTTTTTACGCAGCGCATGCCCTTCCAGCCGCAACCCAGCACTGGGAAACATGGATAGATAGATGGATGGATGGATTTATGGATGGATGGATAGATAGATGGACAGATAGATAGATGGTTGGATAGATAGACAGGAGGATGGATGGATGGATGGTCAGATAGATAGATAGATAGATAGATGGATGGACGGATAGATTTGTGGACGGATGGATAAATGGATGGCTAGATAGATGGATGGATGGATGGATGTATAGATGGATGGCATAGTCCCTTTTTTAAACTGGGGTTGCCACAGAGGAAGGAACCGCCAACTTATCCAGCACGTTTTTACGCAGCGCATGCCCTTCCAGCCGCAACCCAGCACTGGGAAACATGGATAGATAGATGGATGGATGGATGGATAGATGGACAGATAGATAGATGGTCAGATAGATAGACAGAAGGATGGATGGATGGATGGATGGATGGATGGATAGATGGTCAGATAGATAAATGAATGGATGGATGGGCGGATAGATGGGTGGACGGATGGATGGATGGCTAGATAGATACTCTGATAGATGGATGGATGGATGAATAGATGTATAGATAGATGGCTTAGTCCCTTTATTAATCTGGGGTTGCCACAGCGGAATGAACCGCCAACTTATCCAGCACGTTTTTATGCAGCGAATACACTTCCAGCCACAACCCATCACAGGGAAACATCCATTGACACTCATTTACACACATACACTACGGACAATTTAGCACAGAGACACATTTAGCAATTTAGGACAATTTTCCACACAAAAACGCCAACTGACCCAGCTAAGGCTCGAGCCAGCGACCTTCTTGCTGTGAGGCGAAAGCACTACCTACTGCGCCACTGCGTTGCCCACCTCAAACTCACACCTGCCTAATGGTATCTAGTCTTGAACACCTTGATTAGTTGCATCAGCTGAGTTTGATTAGAATTGGAGCCAAACTGTGCAGAGCTGCGGCCCTCCAGGGATCGAGTTTGAGACCTGTGCTTTAAAGCTTATTGTGTTTTTTTTGAATGACTGATTATTTTATATATATAAATGTGTTTGTTTTTGAGAAGGGACTCCAAATGCAACTTTAACATCCTTTTAATTTGGTGAATGATTTCTTTTTTATTATTTAAGCACAGCTGAAAGTGTTCTGTGAACAGATTTGTTTACTAAAAGCAAACATGAAACATATCTGAGAATAGGATTTTAATGTCAAAGTTGCGTTTGTTTCAATTGAACCGTGATGGCCATTATTTCAGTAATGTGAGACAGTATTATTATTATTTTTATTATTATTATTGTTATTGTTGTTGTTGTTGGTCTTCCATGTGATATGAACTCATTGTTTTGGTCTGTGAAGCTAATGATGACTGCCGGTTATGACCGCTGGTTACACAAAATGTACAATGAAAATATTTTGTAGATGAAATAGCAATCCTCTGTGCACCACATGCCAGCGGTGGATCACTGTAAAGAAAATTTTTAACTTTTATGAACAGAATAAGAATAAAAAATAAACATTTACACTTTGATGTTTGCATGTGTTCTTGAAAACTAGTGACTCTTTTGTTTTTACGTTTATATTTTGTCTTAGCAGACATTTTGTCTAAAACCACTTTCAACTGAGGAGGCATTCAGCGATTCAACAAGAAGAGGAAACACACACACGAGGAGTGCTAATTATACAAACAAACTGTTAGTGCTCAGAGAATTAAGTCCTAGAGTAAGGGGGGCAGAGGTTGCGTTAGACTTTGTCATTGTCCGAAATTTTGACGAAGAGGGTTGTAAAAATCGTCATAACCTGTTATTGACAGTCATTTAATTAGCATATTTTCTAATCGCTTTTTTCAGTCATATTTTAATAATTAAATGGCACGACGAGCATATAGGCTAAATTATTCATTTATTTATTTGACAAACGAACAAAAACTCATATCTGCCTAAACTCATATCTTCCTCCTGCGTCGACCTGAACTGTGCTTGCCTGTGCGTGATCAAGCGCATCAAGAGATACTGATGCAGAGGCAGTTGTCATTAAATTTTGTGTCTTTGCCTCAGAAAGTCGACTTCTCGTGACAGTTTTAATTTTGTTCTAGCGGCTGAAGCTCCGTTCTGCTGCCACACTGGAAACCGGACTTACTAGAGCAACTTCAGAAGCGTTTCATAGTTAGGAAACATTTCTCCTAAGGAAGTGATCAGAAGTTTGCTGGATTCTCTGAATGTGGGATTTACTGATGTTGCAAGCACTCGTTTCACCGGGAAAAAATACTGCAGCATGAGCTCCTAAGTTCTGCACCTGCGTTCGGTAGTGCTCAGCGCACAACGCACTCCAAAGCACCTGACCTCCTTGCTGCCACTTGGTTGGCCCGTAACAGCTCGGCGACTGAGGAGTTTTGTCTGTTTGTTCTTCATCATCCACTGCTCCTTTATTATTAATATCACAACTATTTGGCCATTTAAAGAAACTTCTCACACTCAGCTGCTGTGACATTTTTGCAACTACGCAGCAGTGACAAGAGGAGACAAAACAAGGACAGTCGCCATCAGCTGGACAGGAGTGGGAATTACAGTTAGCAATAAATTAAAATAGATCCCCCTCAAAATGACGGATCACCTTCAAATTTTTCTGTCACTGCTGAAAAAAAATCTGTTAATGACGGAAAATATTAGGTTAGTTTTTTTTTGATAGACAGAAAAAAAGTGTTTCTACATGTGGACTGTCGAGCCCACTCGCCTGTGTGAAGCACACTTCATAAATACAATTTCTTTTTACATATGGAGTGAGAAAGTGTCTTGTGTAAATATGCAAAACTAATGCAAGTGTCAGTTAAAGTGTCAGAGAGGTGAAAGAGTGTATCTTCTACAGGTGGTTTGTCAAGCCCACTCACCTGTGTGAGGCACACTCATTCATTTTCCTTAGGTTAAGTCCCTTAATCATCAGGGGTCACCACAGCGGAATGAACTGCCAACTATTCCAGCATATGTTTTACACAGTTGATGCCCTTCCAGCTGCAACCCAGTTTTGGGAAACACCTATGCACTCTCGCATTCACACACACTCATACACCA